TTGATTGTCTGGCTAGTAGGTGTATAGTTTGTAGTTGACTATACTAGAGGTGTGTGTATAGTTGTTTATAATAGATGTATATAGTTGATTATACTAGAGGTGTATAGTTTACTATACTAAAGGTTGAATTGAGTTTGATTGTTTGTCGTTGTAGAAGTGTCAAAAGATAGTAAGTCAGTAAATATTGTCTCTCCTGTTGTATACAGGCAAGAAGACTTAGAACTGAGTTTGAAAGGAAGCCCGAATGAGATTCATGATTATTGATGTTCTTCCTTGTCTTTTGTTTTCAGTTTTTTGGATTTAGATTTGGAACTGATCTTGATGTTGAATATTTTGTTGTGGAGTCTATGTGTTTGTGTCTTGTACTTTGTCATACTTTCTATTTTGAGTGAGACACCCTAATCCCGGAAAATTTCTACCGAATAGCTTGACTTGCACTCTAATCCGTCTTTAAACCTTATCTAGAAAAGGAAGGAAAAAGGGGGTGAGTAACATAGTTACTCAGCGGCATGAGTACCCACGAGATTCATAATACGATATTTTATTTATTAAAAACATAATATGCTAGCCAAAAAAAAAATTTATATTTTTAATAAATAAATTCGAATGCTATATTAATTCACTCAAAAACTGACTCTTCACGTTCCTGAGGAACCACATCCAAGGTGCTCATTCTCTGCCACCACCCATAAATGACTTAACAACAATCCTTTGCCATCACCCACACAGGGTTTGACGGCCACAGCTGGGTAATATCATGCAGAACTCAAACAAGACCGACTCTTCACATTAACACATTCTCCAAGACCCTCATGTTCCAGATATTCATTCTCTGCCACCATCCATTCCAGTCTTGACAAGTTACCAGTGCCACCACCCTCAACATGGATTAACTATGGCTCGTCAGCCATTTCTCGATCACTACAACTTCATAATGTTCAGCCCATTCTCGATCAGTACAAGTCCATAATGTTCAGTCCCTTGTGGTAGGCTGTTAGAAACAATCATACAGTCACATTCCATCTATACTGATTAATTACTATCATTCCTCACTAGCTTCCATCTTAATTATTATGACTTTTCAAACATTACTTATTTCCATCTTAATAAATTCACATATTAATTTTTAATTCATAATATAAATAGAAATGAATAACCAATTATAAATGATGCACATGATCAACTACTTAGGCAACAAAAACGCAAGTACCGCCTATCATCACACATTCATTCAATGTACTAAACACCTTACGCGTATTAATAAATTAAATACAGTATTAAATGAATACTCAAAACAACTGCCCACATGGTGTGTCTCAAACCAGCGGATCGTGTCTTAATCTTTGTTGCATTGCGCCCCATCCTGAAGTTGATGTGTGACTTTAGAACTAAAAATGGAAAAAGAAAGAACTAGAAATAAAAATGAAGTCTCCAGAAATATAACTTTTCAAAAATATAAATTTCCAAAAATAAGAACTTTTCAAAAATAGAAATTTTCTAAAAATAGAAGTTTTCATAATTTTACTTTCCTAAAATCAATCAACATAAATGAATTTTCTTAATTAGATCATCATAAATGGCTTCCCATAAATGGATCGCCATAAATGGTTTTCCTTTTTCAGAAGAGGGAGGTTTCTTAGCCGGAAAGGAACATCAATAACATTTGAAGGTTATCTCAGAATCTGAATCTGAAAGTTGATCTGGAAATAAGAATCCGAGATCTACAGATTAGTATGTGGATCGCTATCTGGGTCCTTCTGGATCGATGGCAAAACCTCTCTCAAGTTAGCTCTACAAAACTGGAAATATCAAATTTACCAAAATAAATGATTTTTCGCTAACTTTCAGCTCACGTAAAAACGGAACTTACCTAGGATCTGCAAATCGCTATGGATTCCTTGCAGCTATATGTTTCCAGAGGTATGAAGATCAGCTCGATCTGAGTTGCTGGCAAATGACACAGCAAAACCCTCACTCAGACAAATATTAAATTGATGCTGCAGAGGTGTTTATAGAATTTCATTGCATTAACTCTGTGTCTCTCAAAAGAATGTGGCTGGCCTTTATATAGGGAGTGAGTCAAGCTCATTAGGTCTAGGATGAAGAAAAAATAACCAAATTACCCTTACTCACACTTAGGACTTTCCTTATAGTTTTTGTGCTGAACTTAGATAGTTGGGCCGAAAATTAGAGAGATGTTTTTAAGTGTTGGGCTGCTGGAAAAAAAATGAACATAAACTTAAACTTGGGATGTCACATTCAGGAACTTAGAATTTGGATTTCAACTTGTATTGTGTTTGATATCTTGGTTTATTTCAGATAATAGGTTTTTTTGGTTATTTAAGTAATTTTTATGAAACCCGAATAATAATTATTATTTTCTAGGTTTTTCAGGTTCTTCGATTTGTGAATTGAAATTTCTTTCAATCATAGAACCGACCTGAACCTGACAAGACCCTGACCAAATACTTCCTTCGATCCTATTTGGGTCTAGACCTCTCTACACGGAGGACTCGACCCCAATCCGAATTGTGGACCATAATGCCCATGCCAACCTCACCGTCTTCATAAATGTAACTGACATTAACATAACTTGTCAACTTTTTTATTTTTAATGGGTGTGACGTATCAAAAGACAGGCACACATAAAAGCATCTTCATCCCTCATTTTCTCATAGGGTTCTTAAGATTTTTAAAATAATAAATTTTCTGTCTCTTTCTCTCTCTAATTTTATGTCTCTCTCTAATTTCCATCTATCATTGGCCCAGAAAAACTTTTAAAACATACACCAATAAAACAAGGACAAGTGTCTTTAAAAACTCTTAAGGAGAGGTTCTTATTTTAGAAATCTAAGCAGCGGTTCTTAAAGATTTTAACCTTTTTGATTTATTTTAAATGCCACTTTAATACTAAGAACACCTCCAACAGCAGGATGAGGAGGGGTTCTAGTTTGAGTTTTATGTGAAAAAAAATATTTAATGGCTAATATTAGGAGAACCAGGTCAAATTTAGTGATCTGCAGAGCCTCACTAGAGACCCTAACGTGTCAAATGGTGATTGGTCATTGGGTTTTTGTTTTTATTTTGTTTTTTATTGAAACCCTCTACATGTTTTAGAGTCTTTGCATAAGAGAATTCATTTTGTCCGATATCTCCTTCTTCGATATCTCTGATGCTTTCCTTCGATATCTCCTCCTTCGATATTTCCGGCGGCGAGTCCTGTCCATTCATCGTAGGCGTCGTCTTCTGCTCCTCTCCAATTTTCCGAGACTGCGGCTTTACTTCTACAACTCGGCGGCGAGCAAATGATCGAGCAAATCGGCGGCTTTACTTTTACAAATCGGCGGCGGCTTTACTTCTTCAAAACGGCGGCGAGCAATTTTCTTATTGATGATCGACTTTACTTCTACAAATCGGCGGCTTTTGGTCTATATACAAGTGGTGGCGTGCAATTGATCGAGCAAGCAAACGTAAGAGTCAATTATCGACATATGATCGAGCAAACAAAGCAAAGTCGAGCAAGTGATCGAGCAAGCAAAATTTTTTTAGAGCTTTCTTAAGATTCCACTACTGGACACTAAAACAATGAAAAAATTTAAAAGATGTTCTAGTGCATTAAAGTGAACAAATTATTAGAATATAAGATTAGAATCCCTCATTATAGACTATGGTTGGAGGGGGTCTAAGAACCCCCTGCAAGATCATGGATGGAGATGTTCTTAGACTCATATAAAGCCAAGAAGACGGCTAAGACACATTATAAGAAAATATATATTTTGCCACCCTAGATAACTAATACACCTGTTTTAGAAATAACTCAAAGCGCACAGTTATTTCTATTATTTTGTTATATAAAAATTAGATTTTTATATGAAGACGAATTTGTATCAAGAATTGTGTTAAATCCAATTATCATACGGGAATGAAGTAATGCCCAACCCACTATCGCCGATGATAAACTCCGTTGCCGTGAAGTTAAACGCATCTTCATAATCCATAATGTGGTAACCCGACCAGTTGACCCGCTTACCCGTTTCAGAACCCGATCCGTTATTATTATACTCTCCATAATAAAGACTATCAATTTCTTACCCACCGTTCCATTTGGTCCAACCAAAACCGTCAATAAATGACTCCATTAGAACTGTTCTTGAATATTCTCTCCATGGGCGTCCCAAAAAGCTTTTAACTCTATTGGAGCTGTTAAATAGATCCTCTGTTGCAAGGATGGAGTAGTTCTGAATCGAGATCCCGGTGTCTTCGTTCGGACTATCTCGTGACTGTGCTGTTATAACTTAGAATTGTCCCGGCATAGGCAACTTTGAAACAATGTTGCAGCCTTGGAAACATTCTTTTTGAGAGAATCTTCTAAAATCGGGTCGTACTCGTCATACCCGTCACTGGAATCCTCTAAAAACCTGCGATCTTTTTGAGAGACCTAGTCGGGAAACCCAAGTAACCAGCGGTTTTTAGTCTTGTTGCTACCGTTGGCTTTTCTCTGTTTCGGAAGAGCAGACAGAGAGTTGCTTACGTGTTTGCAAGTGGTCGTGAAGGAGGTCACGAGCTTCGTCTTTAGTGGACCAGAGGTAGATTCAAGACCATCGAAGCAAGTATTTTTTGTTGGTGAGAGCGGCGCTCAAGTAAGCTCTAGCGTCTGCTAGCTTTCGTGAATCCTTAGAACTATTTTTTTGATCAAAACCCTAAAGTGTTAACCATAAAACTTGTCGCCGAAAAAACCATAATCATAGCTTATTGAAAAAGAAATCCATAGCTTGCAAAGCCCAAGAGTGAAAGAAAGTATTTAAGCTAATTGTTAAGAGTTTCTGAAGCCTCTAGAGCCTAATTTTCGTGGCCCTGATATAAGGAGAAGGAAAACCCAATGTTAGAAGCCCAATCGGATCAATAAGGGCAATTCTGACTTTCTGTGAGCAGACATAGGGTTCTCTTTTTTTACTTTATAAATAGGTGTGAGCTCGTGATAGTGCAGAAGGGAGAGAGTTTCTGCTGCGAAGCCCTGTTGAAATCATTTTCGATCATCCACCATCAAACACCTCGAAGGAGAAGCCATTGCAGGCACTAGAAGATAGATCAGACCAGTCATGGCGCAGAAGAGAAACGAACAGTCAAACAAAATTGGATCGACCTAAAAATTGGTTCGAATGTTCCTGACCCTTATATCTAGCTATAGCCCAAAGCCGTTTATTATTTGGAGCTACGGTTTGAAAGTCATGAGTGTTTTCCCGAGTCATACCTGTGCAGATCCGATCCGCGAGCAGCCAAATTGCGATGCGTTTTGCCGGCGATCTAGGAAGTTCCAGAGGACGATCTACATACCGGCGTGAAGATCTTTAACCCATCTTTCCATATCAGTCTTCAGATATCTATTCCGAGCTGTGACCAGAAAGTTATGACCATTTTTCTGCCACATATCAAATCTATCCGAATGTGAACTGAGTTTGCTAATCTTCTTCAAATGGCAAAGGTGAGGACAAATTTGTAGATTTCTAAGATATATTAGTTGATTTAGTAATGTGTGTATGCTTAGTGTAGTAAACATGATTGATGATGGGTATTTGATAATGGTGTTTGATATGTGTTATTGATTGGTTATTGTTGATAATTAATAATGAGAAGTACAGGAATATGATAACAATAAAATTTATTTGGTTACAATATTGTTTGACGGCCTACAACGAAAAACTGAGATTGTGAAGTTGTAGTGATTGATAAATTGTTTGACGGCCTACAGTGAAGGACTGAATATTGTGAAGCTGTAGTGATCGAGAAATGGCTGACGAGCCATAGTCAACTCTGTTGAGGGTGGTGGCACCGGTAACTTGTCAAGCCCAGAACGGGTGGTAGCAGAAATGAGTACCATTGACGGAAGTTCTTTGGGAATGTGTTAGAGAATCTCTAGGTTGATTGATTGGAATGGTTAAATGATTGGATTTATTTATTAATATTAGAATCATATATATTATATAATAATATTAGTTATTCTAGGTTGATTGTTGCTTGAGTTTGATGTCTATATTATGTATATACATTATTGCTTATTTTAAATAATATGTCAAATAATCTTGTGTGTTCTAAGAACACACCCTCACTAAGTATTTTTTCCCGAATACTAATCCCTCTCTTCTTTTTCAGGTGAGATCAAAGAGTAGTACTTGTGGCAGTTGTTGTGGTGTTATGTTCGGGAGTCAAAGGCGCATTTTGTAATTATTTTTAAGAATAATTTTAATTAAATTATTTCTAGTTTCTCCAAATATTTAAGATTTTTTTATATTTATATTTTTAATAAAAGATTTTTGATAATAAATGATTATTTAATGTGTTTTTATTCTTTTAAAAAAGCTGTTAAATGAGTGTACGAGCAAATGGAAGGAGTGAAGAGGAGAAAATGGAAGGAGTGAAGAGGAGAAAATGGAAGGAGTGAAGAGGAGAAAGAATAAAACAGAGAAATTTAGAGAGGAGAGAGCCACTGGAGAAGAACAAAGTTGAAACAAGTGGAGAAGAGAGTGGTATGTTTTTAAATGTTGAGAGGAATGGGTATGTACTTCGAGTCTTCTCAAAGCGACAAATCAAATATCTTTAACTTAGGCATTTTTCGATACAATTGTGGTTAAATAATGTGAAGAATACAAAAAAAAAATGATGTGTCTGATTGCCATTTAATTTGTGGATATATTTTGTTAGAAATCAATTATCATATACCATCGGTTACTACTTTAATAAAATCAGTAGTCCTGGAATAATCTCTCTGATATAGAATTTTTTTTTTATGAGGGAGAGCATTTTGAATAAAAAACATATTTCTTTTATAATAAGAGACAATTTTTCTATAAAGTTATTAAAATAATATATTAAATCATATTTATTTAGGTTATTAAATTAATATATTAAAAAATATTTATTTAGGTTTTATTATAAACCCCATACCGGGACACCTGCATCCGCCTGCTAATACCAACAATATTTACGAGGAATTACAGCTCAAATTCAATGGAAAGGCTTATCGAAAATACTCAACCTAGATTTTAAACAGTATATTTTAACGTGCATACTTATGACTATTATGTAGTGCATATTTTAAAACGAACTAAGTAGTAACAATCACTTTGGACGGGATGAGATATTTATAAAGTATTTTGGTTGATATTTTTTATTAATTCAAGAGATGAAAATAATTTAACAGGTTTTAGGTATAACCTACATAGTTGTGATTAGATTTGAAAAGCTTAATTTAATATGACTTGAATTTGAATATGCAAAATAATCGAATCTCAAAACAATTTAATCTATTTTGAATTCAGATATGCAATTCATACAAAAAATTTTTACAATGATTACGTCTTTTGTTTGATATTTTTTGAGGAAATTTTCATACACATTCATCTTTAGAAGGCTTCATCGCGAGTAGCAAACCACTCTGTAAGTGCTTCCTCGTATTCGTGAAACCCTACTGTGCAAAGGATAAGATATGGTTGCACGGAATCTTGTGAGAGAATGAGCACAACGATGGTGAATTTTCTGTGTGTCTTATTGAGATGAAACCTTACAATATATATACAATCAAAACGATCGCTTAATCTAAACGCAGACCAATAACTCTCTTATCAATTGCTATTTTAAATTACCAAAACAGAGTATAATAATATATACAGATATACAGGTCGTATTACTCACATCTCTGTAAGATATTCCCCCCCCCCCGCGCTGAAGTGTTCCCAACTTGGACATGAGTAACCTAAACCGAAGGGACCCCATGTCCGAATGACATCTAGGTTTTTAGGAAGAGGATTTCAATTTTTAACATGATTCTCCCATTCATCCAAATCTCAAAGCGGTAATTCTGGATTGATCACCCAGAATCTGATCCTAGGTTTAATCCAAGCCACAAGAGTCTTGTATCTGGGTTGCCTGAACTAGATCTTATGGACGTCACCGTCGTAGGAGACGAAAGCTACCTACGGAGAATACGTAGGTCGAGATGGATTCCGATCTACAAAGCATGATCTTGTTCTGGCATGAGAGCGAGAGTTAATTAATGGTGAAAAGCGGTCAAAATCGGGTGTTATCAACTCCCGGAGACTTAAGCCTTTGTTTGTCCTCAAACAAAACAAGATCAAATATGGAAAAATATTATTCAACAAAAATGAGAGGGAACTCAAAATTATCAGCAACCATACTTCTAGACATTAATTATGGACAATGCATCAATCAGATCAAATCTAGAAAATTGTCACCAAAATTCAAACATAACTAGTCCGTTAATCCATCATGCGAAATCCACACACTTAGAACTAACTTCCAGTCAACTAGCTCTTAACATTCATTAAAGGTTTCAGTGATTCTCATTAAAAGGATATTAAACAAGGCATTCAAGGTTAGGTATCAAAAGGCTTTCTAATGGTAAGGCTTGATGTGTTTAGGTTACCTTTTTCTGGAGAGACAGGACATTATGCAAAACAGCAAGAGATGATGGAACTGTAAATGCACCCACAGTTTCAGTCACATTCTTCTTGCTTCAAGATTTCTGATCTCATTTCTTCAGGTTTTCCTTATAGTTCCCCCAGACTTGGATTTTTGTCTAGGTTGTAATCCATAACTTCTTAAGTGAATACCTAATGCCTTTGTTCTAGTGTTTTCAGCTTCTAAGACTCTTTTAGGCTTTTAGTTTCCTTTCCTTTCTTTCGTTTTCTCTTTTTTTTGTTTTTTTTTTTCGTTTTAGAAAAGGGGAAACTGCCTTTTGATTTGGAGTCTTAGGGAGCACGAAATTTACCTTTTAGAATGAGCTTTTCTGAGGCATCATATGATTTCTGACCCACTCCCTTCTGGTCTCTTTCAGTCTTTCTCTTGAGTGACTGAAAACTATGTTGTTCCTCCCTCTCCGGCGTTTTTGCAGATATCTGTCAATTTAGACTTAAAAGAATGCAGGAGGTTAGAACATAAAGTTTTGGGTTAAGGGTGTGGTACCAGCTAAAGATGAACTGGCCATCTAGGACAACAAAGAGTGATAACAATAAGGTAAAGATGTCCTATATGTATATCATGATGCCTTCTTAAAACCATTGATAAGAAAATTAGATGAGTCACAAAGATTGCGTGAGACGATGCCTTTACAGTCTGATTTAGTTGCCGGGGCCCTTCATCAAGATTCAAGGTTTTTGAGTTTTCTTTCTATAACATCTGAGGTCGTCCAGTTTGGAGCTATGTGCAGCAAGATACCGTCTCCGGAGTGAACACTGGTCCAAGAGCTTCTTTTTGATCGTTTCAATGCACTGCAGAGATGAGCCGTCCGGGGAACCTTCCACTCACCGAGCACCAAAGGTTTCTTCAGAAAATTTCGATCTTGATGAGTCATATTTCTCGTGGACTTTGTTTGGTCTCATTTGGAGTTGTGAGCTGTGAGTTCCGGAAGGCGGAAAATAGACATGTCAATCAGGCGTTTAAGAGTTGAAATTACGCTAAGTGTCATACTCTGACACGGTCCTAATGCCACGGTCCATACTTGACCGTGGCAATGCTTTGCCAACCTTCGGCGATTGAGACGGAGAGAATGCCACGGTCAACACCAGACCGTGGAAAGGTATTACTTCTGAGTGCCAACCTTCGGGAATTGACATGGTCTTGAGACACGGTCCATGCTTGACCACGGCAAACACTAAAGACCTTTGACACGACCATGATGCCACGACCAGTCATCAGGCCGTGGCAATCACCGAATGCTCAACACTTTGCCACGCTCAACATGACACGGTCAAGACAAGGCCGTGGCAAACCAAGCAGCTTATGATCCAAACCCAGAAAGGAAGAGGCACGGCCATGCATCACGGTCCAAATCAAGCCATGGCAACCTTGTTCTTGAAGAATCTGCTCTTGATCTTTGACACGGTTCGAATGACACGGTCTGTCCAAGGACCATCTAAATCCTTTCCTTAGTTAGCTGCTCTTAAAGCTAGATCCTTGAGAATCACTTGGGTCTAGATCATAGGCATTTCATGCACAAAAAGTGTTTGATGAAATGCCTGAAAGAGCTAACTTAAGGGTTTATGCCTTTTTCATCATGAGAGTGATAGTTAAACGCATGAATAACATATTAGAACTGTTTCTTAATGCTCATTAATTCATATTTCACAAATGATGATTTGGTTTGAAAATGGATTAGTGTAGAGGTTAATGCCTTCATGAGAGGATTAGTCTAGATTAGAGTTCTAAGTTGAAATATTTTGAGATCATGTGATTGCTTGCTATGTCTTTCTGTATAAGATTCAGTATTTCTTTGTAGAGATTGTTTGGTCACTTATTGGGCTTGGTACATTATGCTTGTTGATTGCTTGGTTATATCTAATGGTTGTTAGACTTGATTAAGTGATTGCAAAGGGATTTCTGTCATAAGAGTGGGTTAATCTGATTAAGAAGCCTAGACTAAAGAGTAGCAAGTGTTGCATTATGTTCTTAGCATCATAAAGCAATATCTAAAGCACCCTAATCAATGACCACATCTAGAGGTTTATCTTTCATCATTTGCTTTATCATCATCTTGTTTGTTTGCTTGCTTGTTTAGTAGTTAATCATCTTGCTTTGCTTGTTTCTTGTTTCATGCTTTCTTGTTTCTTGTCACCAGAAATCTTTCTCGTCTCACTTGACTTGAGAACTTGTCACATAAACTAGTGCATAACTACCACACATTTGGATTGATACACTTTATGCTGCAACATCAAAGGGATTGATAACCCTTTAAGAACCTAAAAAATTCTTAGTTATCAATTGGCGTTGTTAACATATTGTGTGGAGATTGTTAGCATTAATTTCTGATATAGTTTTTGAGATCAAGTTTATTTTGTTATACTGATCACCTTTCAAGTTCTGTCTTTGTTTTCAGGTTTATGATCACAAGAAGCCAAGCAAGAAGACAGAGAGAAAGAGCAGTTCACTTGGAAAGGTTAGGAATGGATCAGCAAGTTGGGAATGAGCATCAGGCTAAAGAAGCTGATCACGGTCAAAGAGCTGGTAATGGGATTAGAATTCAGGTTCAACAAGCTCAGGTCCATCAGGGACAAGCTCAGGGTAACCAGAACCAAGACCAACCTCAGGTTAATCCACCACAGCCCCACCCAAACCCACCCAGACATCTTCAGACACAACCGGTCTATGTTGGAGAGAATGACCAAGCCAATGCACATCAGCATCGTGTAGGAATTCAAGTTCCACCGGTTGAAGCCAAAAACTTTGAGGTTAAGGCATCACTCCACACCATGGTTCAAAACTCTAAATGTCATGGAGTCCTCATGGAAGATCCACTTGATCATCTAGAGCAGTTTGATAGGGTGTGCAACTTAACTAAGATAAATGGAGTCTCTGAAGATGGTTTCAAGCTAAGGCTGTTTCCTTTTAGCTTGGGAGACAAAGCTCATCAGTGGGAGAAGAATCTACCTCCAGGTTCAATCCACACTTGGGAACAATGCAAGCAGGAATTTGTCTCTAAGTTCTTCTCCACTTCAAGGACTGCCAAGCTAAGGAACCAGATTTCAAGCTTCACTCAGCTTTCTAATGAAACCTTTGGAGAAGCTTGGGACAGGTTTAGAAGCTACACAAATCAGTGTCCACGTAATGGCTTTTCAAAAGCCTCTT